ATATATATATATATATATGCACAAACAAATTTTGTTTTTGTAATTTAACAACAAACAAAAAATTATTAAAAACTCTTTTACTTAATATTTTAGATTTAATACTAAATACATAGGATTATAGGATCAACTAGATGGTGTAGTGCAGGGGTTGGTCAACCTTTCATAGTGTAAGAGCCTTTCTAGGATGCATAAAGGTTTATATGCAAGGAAAATCAATCAAAGCATATTATAAAATCGTCTCTACTTTCTAACAGTTTAAAGGAATATTTTGTAGGCAGATAGTTATTTGAGCACATGCAATATGAAGTTGTTTTTTTTCCATGTGTACGGTACAGCATAAAGGAGCCAAATATGGCTTAAAAGCCATAGATTGCCAACTCTGGGTGTTGTGAGAGTAACCAAATAATTTTTCGTTAGTGTTATAAAAAATAATAAAATTATTTATACAATAATAAGGAATTTTTTATTTTGTAACTTGTATAATAATTATACAATAGCTGTTATAAATACATTTCATATATTTGAGAAATGTACAGAAGAAAAGATAACTGTAATTAGTTATCTGTATGGTAATATTGTGAATGGTTTTATGCAGTGTAAGAAAAAAAAACAGACGTGAATTAAAATTAGAAGAAGGAAAAAATTAAAATTTGTGGGAAAATATAAATAATTTATTCTTCATGAATAATAGGACTTGTTATCTAATGAGTTAGTGTGTGTTTCTTGAACATAATTTAAAGAAAAAGGAATAATGACTTAAATGTTGTCCATTTTTATAAACTTACTAGACCACCGTGAACCGTTGGGTCAACCACTATTCAGAGGTTATGAAGAATTCAAGCTAATTTCAATATTGCACCGAAATGAAGGTTTATTTTGAGATAATTTAATTAAATATTTCAATCCATTCGTGTTATTCATAATTCAAGAAAAGATACTTGATTGTTGATCGGGAGTAAAACGAAAGACCATTTCATATTTCAAAAAAATGATGAAAGAAGTTTCGTAAAGAGCGCGAACGGTAGTGTGAATGATTTTTTTT